TAAAATGGAAGATGCTCTTGATGAAAGAGATTGTTTTAAAATAGCTGCCCTAAGAACAAACAAAATGACCGAGGGGTTGGAGAAAGAATTAAAGGAAATAGAACAACAGAGAGATGCATATAGTGCTAAGATCACTGAACTCCAAAACCTTGTCATGGAATATAAAATAAAAACTAAAGAAAACATAAATAAATGGGATAAGGAGATTCCTAAAGAATACCCAGGCCAGTCTCATTTTATATCTAAAAGTACAGAACCAGTGCTCAGAACCAAACACAAGGGAAATGCGCCAGTTGTTAACTGTGTCCCACAAGCCCCTTTAATAATAACTGAACATTTTAATGTAAGAGAAATGCCTACTAGCTTCTCTAGACAGACACGCACTATGTCAATCACAGACAAAGACAATTTCCAGAAATGGTGGGGAAGTATGCCAAATAACAACTTTAATACTTTTACACACTGGTTTATGAGGGGAGCAAATAGAGCTAAAAAAGGAGGTTTTAACTTAGAGGAATGGACAGAACTTTTAGAATATGCTATGGGTCCTTTGGCTAGTAGACTATTGGGTTTCAATAACAGTGTGTCTGATCAGGCAGGAAGAATTGCTGAAACTAATTTCTATATACTCAGCATAGAGAAAGAAATAGCGAATATTACGATGAGGCCAGCAGATGGTCCTAGAGAGGTAGCTCAAAGGATATTGTTCTGGTATACACTACGCCAACCTCAACAGCCCCTGGTGTTGGGCTCACCAGAACACATTGCTAAAGTAATGGAAGCCCTTCCCTGGGAGTGTCAAGAATTTGTCAGGCTTTTTGATCCAACACCAGTAGACTTAGAAATGCTACTAACTAGAGCTGATAATTGGTGGCTTAAGCATCCTTCCTCAGAACAGGCCTTATCTGTTTCAGCCATAAGAACATTCAAGGTTGACTCTGGTAGAGATTTAGATGGCAAATGGAGAAGCCAAAGGTGGGATGTACCTCAGAACAAGAGGGATAATGAGAACTGGAGACCAAAACAGGACTTTGACAAAAGATGGAGAGATCCACAGAGGGACCATAGGAATAGGGACAGTTCTAAAGGAAGTAATGTAATGGGAGATAATTGGAAAAATAGATGGGAGGAGCCTAAGGTAATCAATAATAATTGGAATAATAATAATAACACCTGGGAGAAGCTAAAAAGGAGAGATAACTGGGAAAATCACAGATGGCAAGAAAAACAGAGAAACAACAGGAACAGTTATTGGGAGAATAATTGGAAAAGGAACCATAGATGGGATGATCAGACCAATAGACGGAATTGGGATAATTGGAGGAATAAAGAAGGGAATAGAGACTACTGGGACCTAAAGAGACAGACTGAGAGATTGGAGGCAGACGTGAAAGCGCTTAGGGAACAGATGAGAGAGGGAAATACTGATCAATTGGGGGTCCCCAGCAATGAATAACTCCCATAATTTTTGTTGTCCTCTACATCTGTATGTATGTTTGTTTTTTCTTTTGTTTCTATATTTTATCTGTCTCACCATTATCTCGTAACACTCCAGTTTAAAGAGGACCTTAGTATGTATTGTTATATATATATATATATATATATATATATATATATATATATATAATTTTTTTAGTCATACTAAGGATAAGCCTCTAAATTCATTCATTACAGTCAGGTGGGCCAAATTCCAAATAATTTTTGTTTTTATTAGTTTAGCACGCCTGCACTGCCAGCTATGTTTTATTTTTTGATGCTGGATTAATAATTATAAATTCATAGATTAAGTGAATTGTTGCCAACGTGAGGCTTATATTTGATCACACTGGAGAGATGTGATAGTGTAACTTTCTGTTGGTTTACAACAGTAAAAACTTTAAAAGCATTTTTTTTTTAAATTTGGTTCCCAACAAATATAACCTCAAGTTGATTTTTGATTTTGATTTTTGAATAGCAACAGACAGTTTTCTATAGATTGCACGCTGCCAAACTGTGTAATGGTAGCATTCAATCTACTTTTTTTTTTCTTCTCTCTCCATCTTTGATGCTTTGTTTTTCTTTGTCATTAAGAATATAGGGAAATTAGATTGCTTTGAGTGAAGATGGCATAAATAATAAAGTGAAAATGTATGCTATTTGTTCTATTTGGCTATCCGCAGGGGGTTAAATAGTTATGGGTATGAGAATTTGCACCTACGTTCAATTGCGAATACATTTTTCACCCTTAGATCTTTCCCACTCACGTTCATGTATAATAATTTACGGTTTAAACTATGTACATTTTGTGATTATTGCATGTATTCATCAGTAAATTATAAAATAACTAATATGGTTTTGTGTTCAACTCACCATCAGGTGTGGAGTAAATGTCTAAATTAATCAAAATTTCAGGAGACATTTGTGGGTCTTTTAAATACCTCTAAAATGTAAACATAGCCTTAAGACACCACAACCAAATAGATTTTATTAGACAAAACTAGTTAAGCCTTTGACACAAGACAATATGCTGATTACTGTTGTACATAGTTCATTGTCTGTGTTTGATTCAAAGAACATTTTAATTGGAAGGCCCAGAGAGGCGAAGGTAACTGACATGTCCTGTCACAGTTTACTATACAGATGAAGAAGTGCTGGGATTACCAAGACAAACTATTATCCTGAAAATGATTACTATTCAGATGAAGAGGTGCTGGGATTACACGTCAAACTATTATCCTGAAAATAGATACTATACAGATGAAGAAGTGTTGGGATTACCAAGACAAACTATTATCCTGAAAATGATTACTATTCAGATGAAGAGGTGCTGGGATTACACGTCAAACTATTATCCCGAAAATGGATACTATACAGATGAAGAAGTGCTGAGATTACCAAGTCAAACTATTAACACAGCCCAGAATGAGGGTAAAGTAACAGCAGGAAGCAGGAATTTGTGTCATTTCAAGGTGGTCACAGAAAGAGTTTACCCTACACTCATGAACTTGCATGTGTCATTAAACCTACAAACCTCAAGCTTTGTAATGGATTGGCAAAGACAATATTCAAGGAGAGTTCATTCTAAAATCACAGCTATCAAGCACACAGATCAGTCACAGTCTTCAGATTCCAGTCCCAGGCGAAATTAAACATCATATTGTGTCATAAACTAGTGATAATTACTGTATGGGGTTGATTGCGTCTAGATATTACTACTTCACATGAACACATTACCATATAATATTAATGAACAACTACCAGGGTTCTTACCAACCCACTTGGGCAGTGGTTAATTTAAAAATGGAACAACTGAAAACAATTGAAATTGGGGGAATGTGGGGTGATGCAACCCCTGTTTGACTATATTCTCTCACTTTTAAATGTGCTCAACATAAGAAAAAAAAAAGTGAGGGAATGTGGTGACATTCTGTCATCAAACTAATATGGTGACCAGTGATCATGTGACCAAGCTCTTACAGTGGGATAAGCTTTACCCTTTTGAAATGTTAATTGGTAATTCAATACCTTTACTAGTCAGGAAAGAGATAACCACTTCCCCCTATCCCCATTCCTCTCTGTTCCTTCTTGGCTGTGCTACTGAGCAGTCCTTTAAGCAGACATGGCCTTATTTCTATCATGGTGAACTGTGAGTGGGATTTTATAAGATGTAGTTGTTATTGTTAGTTAGGTTGTTGTTGCTGTTGTTGGTGGTATAGTTAGTTAGATTGTGTGTCATTATTTGTATGTTGTTGTTATTTTGTCTCTGAATAAATATTTGTTAAAGTAGACGGACCAGAGTTTATATGTGTATGCGTACATAATAATTTATAGAGTTTGGTAATACACCACACCCGCTACAGTCTGTAATGAATGCTGCGCTAAACTAATTTTCCTCTCTAGTCGGTCCTCTCACACCTCACCCCTCTGTCAGTCCTTACATTGGCTTCCTGTATCCTAAAGAAGTCAATTCAAAGTGCTAACCCAAACCTATAAAGCACTGACCAAGTCTAGCCCCTCTTATATCTCTATAGGTATGCCTCTTCTCGGTCTCTCCGCTCCGCCCGTGACCTTCTCCTGTCCGTTGCTCGCACCCGTACCGCCAACTTGCGCTTGCAGGACTTCTCGCGGGTGGCTCCCTTCCTATGGAATAGCCTGCCTACCGCCATCAGACTCTCCCCTAGTCTTCAATTGTTTAAGAAGTGCCTTAAAACCCATCTAAGGAAAGCTTATGGCCTCCCAGAGTAACCTATACATTACACACCTGTCTCTTGCTCTCTCCTAAAGGGCAGCACTCTACTCTCTCCTCCAGCTCTGCTTCACTCCAACCTTATTTGATTGCTATTTCCTGTCCCAATGTGTATTATACCTCACATCCTAAAGACTGTAAGCTTGTTTGAGCAGTGTCCTCTTCATCCTATCGTTCCTGTAAGTTTTCTTGTAATTGTCCTATTTATAGTTAAATCATTGGATCACTGTATCAATATACCATAGTGTATTAATATACCGTACTGTATCAATATACCATAATGTATCAATATACCATAGTGTATCAATATGCCATAGTGTATCAATATACCGTGCTGTATCAATATACCGTACTGTATCGATATACCGTGCTGTATCAATATACCATAGTGTATCAATATACCGTGCTGTATCAATATACCATAGTGTATCAATATACCGTGCTGTATCAATATACCTTACTGTATCAATATACCATAGTGTATCAATATACCATAGTGTATCAATATACCGTGCTGTATCAATATACTATAGTGTATCAATATACCGTGCTGTATCAATATACCGTGCTGTATCAATATACCTTACTGTATCAATATACCATAGTGTATCAATATACCGTACAGTATCAATATACCATAGTGTATCAATATACCATAATGTATCAATTTACACTGATGTTGCCTTGTCTGAGCTGAATTACGATCTCGACTATTTACTTTTGAATATAAATCCAAAAGAAAACCGCATCTAATGATAAAAAACGTTGACATAAATTCTTGGTGATTTTCAGTGTTTTATGTGTAATTATGTAAATGCCAGATAAATGAAAGCACCCACTCCCCCATAACACAGGGTGAGAATCTCCAGCCATTCTTGCGTTTCTTGCTTTACATTGCCAGTGGGCTAGTTTGTTACAGCAGGCAGGACATTCTTCTCGAACTCGCCAGGCATGTTGATGTTCCCCGGCGGCTTGTATTGTCCTACCACAACGATGCACCCTTTGCCATCTGTGGCCACTCCGCAGCCCAGCTCCTGAGAGCCTTTCCAGACAACCTGCGTGAAGTGACCTGGGCGGTCCGGATGGAAAGAAAAACCTCATTACATATCCCATTTATACGTAAAATAGAATGATACCTTTCAATAAATACATCATCTCACAATACAAGGGGACTTGTTATATTTGAAATACAAATTGTTGCAGTTGCTTGTAGTAAGACTTTTATCCAGCAGAGGTCGCCAAAGGACAGTTTGCATCACAGTTTAAAAACACAAACTACTATGGCCCTTTGCAAGTAGTTAAAGGACCACTATAGTGCCAGGAAAACCAACTATAGGGTCTTTAGGTCCACCCCACCCTCAGGGTCCCACTCCCGCTGGGCTGAAGGGGTTAAACACTTACCTTTCTCCAGCGCCGGGCTATCCTCGGCGCTGGGGAACTCTCCTCCCTCTGCCAACATCAGCGCCGAATGCGCATGCGCAGCAAGAGCCGCGCGCATTCAGTCAGTCCATAGGAAAGCATTACTTAATGCTTTCCTATGGACGTCCAGCGTCTTCTCACTGTGATTTTCAATCCATAAAACAATCAGTTTTCCTGGCACTGCAGGTCCCCTTTCCCTCACACCTCCCCCTTCGCGGGGGAGACTGATCACGCCTGCCGGCTGGGGAGACCTAATGCGCAACGCCGCACACGCGCATTCGATCTCTCCATTGGTGATAAACTGCTTGTAAACTAATAAAAACCTTAAGGTAAGCTGGTTCCCAGGACCTCATTTAGATTAAGTTGTTATGGTTCTCAGTAATGATATAAAAGCATTCTTTAAAAAACCTTAAAATGTAAGTTCTTTCAATGTTAAAGGGTTGCCCAACAAAAAAACTTTTGTTTTAAAATCAGACTAACCCGCTGGCACAGTCTGTCCCTCCAGCCTGGTCCCACTAACCCTCGCTGCGGGAGGAGGGACATCCAAGAGTACAATCTGAGAGATAGATATTTTTGAACTACAACTCCTGTGGTGCTTAGCCGAGAGCCAACTCTTGGGAATATCAGTAACTGTCAGTTAGCTACTGTTCAGACTGACAGGACGATATGGTTCTGTAACAATCTTAAAGGGACACAGTAAGCACTGTAACCATATCATCTCAGCTAATATTCAGAGTACAAAAGATAAAATAATAAAAAAGGCAGTGGTATAAAAAGGAATAGGTAAAGCAAGATAAATAAAATGATTATATGAATATGTAGAATGTAAAATAAGTTGAAATACTAGAAAAGCTTTAATAAAATAATAATAAATGGGATAAATCAACAAAGTTTAGAATAACATTTTAAATTCATGTTAGAGTCCAAGTACCGTAAAGGCCATATAAAGTCCAAAATATGGCAAAACAAGTCTTGGCGTTGGCTGCAGTAAATAGGGCTACGGTAACAGAGCAACCAAAGGGAAATGTTGGCTGTTGCTTGGCTTGTTTCCTAAATTGATGTAGTACTTATAGAATAATACATACAGTTAAACAGGTAAGTACATGAAACCTGTAATCCAGTCAAATACAAAAAATGACCAAATGCAGTAATAAAAGTGTCCACTTGGTGGCCTCAGCGTACCTTAAAATAGTAAAAGGCATTCTACTGCCTTATAAGAAATTGTCCATGTGTCGTGACCATGCTCTGCCTCCAAGTCCACCTGCGAGGGACTGAGCACTATAACTGCCACTTACCATGTTATGAGACTGTGTGAAGTAATATGAGTATAAAGGACTGATAATTACCCTGCTATGAATCTTTCCTTCTCTTAGCAGACACTACCAAAACAAGCACCCTGAAATTTGACCACCTGTCTAGGCAGGGTATATGCTCTGAGGAAACCTGCCAACTCCAGCCGGCTGCGTGGAACTATCTCTCGGATCGAAACTCAGCCGCGGCCCGGCAAGCGTTTAACCGGGTGACGATTCAATTCTACATGGTATAAAGGCGCTATTTCACCAGTTAGGGCGCTCGGGGACCAGTTATGCAGGCATACTTTATATGTGGGGTCTATTGATGTTTTACAGTATGTTTTGGGGATATTCTGTTAAGGAGCCCTGTTGTCTGGAAGTTAATTAGATTAGCTGTACTTGATTGTTATCTCCCAGACACAGAGGTGTCTGGGTGGGATCTACATTGTTCTAGTTAGCAACCCCCTGCCGAGGGTCTGTGTATAAATATGTGCATTGGAATCCTATAAAGTTCTCATGTTATTACTCTTCATGAAGTCTCAAATAATGTTTGAGTGGGCTGCTATATATAACTGAATACTCTGCAGTAAAAAGAGAGAGGCTTTGGTGGGGATACTCTGGTCGAGCTTTGGTAGAGATTCTCTGGTCGAGCTTTGGTGGGGATACTCTGGTCGAGCATTGGTGGGGATACTCTGGTCGAGCTTTGGTGGGGATACTCTGGTCGAGCTTTGGTGGGGATACTCTGGTTGAACTTTGGTGGGGATACTCTGGTCAAGCTTTGGTAGAGATACTCTGGTCAAGCTTTGGTGGGGATACTCTGGTCGAGCTTTGGTAGAGATACTCTGGTCGAGCTTTGGTAGAGATACTCTGGTCGAGCTTTGGTAGAGATACTCTGGTCAAGCTTTGGTGGAGATACTCTGGTCAAGCTTTGGTGGGGATACTCTGGACGAACTTTGGTTGGGATACTCTGGTTGAACTTTGGTGGGGATACTCTGGTCGAGCTTTGGTAGAGATCCTCTGGTCAAGCTTTGGTGGGGATACTCTGGTCAAGCTTTGGTGGGGATACTCTGGTCAAGCTTTGGTAGAGATACTCTGGTCAAGCTTTGGTGGGGATACACTGGTCGAACTTTGGTGGGGATACTCTGGTTGAGTATTGGAGCTCCGCCACACTTACCTGTTTGCAATCCAAACTCTGGTTTGCCGTAATCATAATCCTTAATTTCCTTGTACCATGAATCCACAGGCTCATTGCCTATAAAGAAAAAATGGAAAGAGATTTTGAAACTTCTTTGCATTTTTTAAAACTTGTAATTAAGTACAACCTAAGCAACTTCATTCACAGACATGGTCCTCTAATTCTGTCAAACATGGTCCCATTTATTCTTTGAACTCTGTATACATCTAGCCTCATTCCGTCCTTCAACATTTAAATATACAATACTGGCTTATCACCCTTATAACTCAGTGGAAAGACACACAGTGTGAGTGTAAAACATTATTTACATATACACTTCTTTTAAGCGGTAGAAAAAAGATAGGACTCCTCCCAGTCCTCACAATACAAATACAAAGAAAGGGGTCTACAGAGAAATAAAACTCATAGAGTAATAAAGTTGATTACACCAATATACCAGTGTTCAAGGTTACACTCACAAACGTATATTAATTGTAGGCGTATCAATGGTTTAGAGATAGAGTAAGATAGAGTCAGACGGCAAATGAAAGCGAGGCTTGAAAAGCACTCCGCAAATATGAGCTACAGCAGAGATTATTCAACACGGATTGGCTTCCGACAACCGTGGGAGTGGCATCTTCACATTCAAAACAACAATGGATGACACACAAGGAATTACACCACACAGGATACTGGACGATTATTACCCCTAATTTGTAGCATACGAAACGCGTAGGGCTGGGCCATTGTAGGGAGTGTTTAGGGTGATTTTTTTTTTTTTTTTTAATATATGTCCAATAAATTATTCTTATAACCAAGAAGAGGCATTCTTCATCCTTCACACCTGTGGATAACCATTGGGGATCACACCCCCTGGATTCAATATGCTCATACATTACTTCAAGCTTGTAAGTGTGATTTAACCTCTTAAGGATCGATGACGGTTCAGGACGGTCATCGGAAACATCCCCTTGAGGATATATATATATATATATATATATATATATAAATATAAAAATACACTCAGAATTAAATTACACGTGTGTGTGTATATATAATAACTATATATATTGTGTGTATATATATTATTATAAAATATAAATAAAAAGCAAATATAAATAAAAAAACTTTAAAATAAAATAAAAATGTAAAACATTATATATATATGAAATTTTATTCTAACTGTATTTTGATACTAATATATATTTATATAAAAATACAGTAAGAATTATATATATCTATGTATATATAAATAAATAAAAATAATATTAAATATATATATATATATCTCCATTTACAAAACTACATAAATAATTTCATAAATATACACGTAGACTTCAAATATGTAATTATGTATATATATATTTAAATTCTACGTGCATAATTAAGTAATTTTATTGATTGCAATTTGAAGGACCTGCCTGGCAACCCAGGCAAAAAAAGTCCAACAAATTTAATTTGCTAGCACTGTATTTAAACCTGTAACTTTCTATGAAACCTGTACATGGGGGGTACTGTTTTACTCGGGAGACTTCGCTGAACACAAATATTAGTGTTTCAAAACAGTAAAACATATCACAGCGATGGTATTGTCAGTGAAAGTGAAGTATTTTGCAATTTCCACACACAAACAGCACTTTCACTGGTGATATAATTGTTGTGATACGTTTTACAGTTTTAAAACATTAATATTTATGTTCAGAAAAGTCTTCCAAGTAAAAAAGTACCCCCCCATGTACAGGTTTTATATTGTTTTTGAAAGTTACAGGGTCAAATATAAGGGTCAAATTTTTTACATAAAAAATTGCCAGGTTGGTTATGTTGCCTTTGAGAGCGTATGGTAGCCCAGGAATAAGAGTTGCCCCCATGATGGCATACCATTTGCAAAAGAAGACAACCCAAGGTATTGCAAATGGGGTATGTCCAGTCTTTCTTAGTAGCCACTTAGTCACAAACACTGGCCAGAGTTAGCGTTCATTTTTAACAAACAAATATAAATGCTAACTTAGGCCAGTGTTTGTGACGAAGTGGCTAGTAAAAAAGACTGGAAATACCCCATATTGAATAGCCTGGGTTGTCTACGTTAAAAAAATATGTACATGTGTATTGTGATTCACAGATTTATGACAGATAACAGTGTTACAATGTCACTATTGATACATTTTAAAAATACATATTTTGAAACAGCAACGTGCTTCTTGTACTTACAGCCCTATAACTTGCAAAAAAAGCTAGTAAACACTGGGTGTTTTTAAACTCAGGACAACATTTTTAATCTATTTAGCAGTTTTTTTCATTCGCTTTTGTAGATGAGTAAAAGATTTTTCAAGTAAAAGTCAAATTTAAAAAAAAAAAAATTTTAAGTAAATTATATGACATGATACGAATAATGGTATGTGAAGAAAGCCCCTTTTGTCCTGAAAAAAAAAACAATATATAACTTGTATGGGAACCATAAGTGAGAGAGAGGAAAATTACAGCTAAACACAAACACCACAAAAGTGTTAAAACCGCTCTGGTCCTTAACGTACAACATGGCCAAAGCAGTCCGGTCCTGAAGGGGTTAATTAAGCGCATATACTGAATTTAAAGTCTGCTTTTATTACATGTCTCTACTCTCTCCCACATGCCCATTTTTCGTGTAGTGGATCTTGCACCATCTCTAAACCATTGATACGCCTACAATCAATATACGTGTGTGAGTGTAACCTTGAACACTGGTATATTGGTGTAATCTGCTTTATTACTCTCTGAGTTTTATTTTTACCCTTTCTTTTATTAATCCTGCAACATTATTCCCTCCAAATTGAAAACTGAACATTTTACACGGACAGAGAGGGGCACTTTAATTTAAGAGTGTGAATGGTGGGTGGCCAGGGGCGGGGATGTTCTGAGTGGGGGTGTGACCAGGGGCAGGGCTGTTCTGAGTGTGGGTGTGGCCAGGGACGAGGCTGTTCTGAGTGGGGGTGTGGCCAGGGGCAGGGCTGTTCTGAGTGTGGGTGTGGCCAGGGATGAGGCTGTTCTGAGTGGGGGTGTGGCCAGGGGCAGGGCTGTTCTGAGTGGGGGTGTGGCCAGGGGCAGGGCTGTTCGGAGTGGGGGTGTGGCCAGGGGCAGGGGCTGTTCTGGGGGTGTGGCCACTGTTCTAGGTAGGGGTGTGACCAGGGGCTGTTCTGAGTGGGGGTGTGTGACCAGGGGAGGGCTGTGACCAGGGCCGGGGCTGTTCTGAGTGGGGGTGTGGCCAGGAGTGGGGCTGTTAGATATTTTACTGGGAGTATTGTGCTGTGAAGCTCTGTGCTGAAATCAGACACACAATTTGGAGCTCCTAGAAAAGACAGGCATTAGGAGAGAAAAGAGGGACAGAGGATTTGGACCAAAAAGGGACTGTCCGTCCTAAAAAGGGACACTTGGGAGATATGCAATTTTAACAAACATGGTTGAAATGGAAAAAGTCTGAAACTCTGCTTTAGACACGACTTGTTAGAATTCAGTGATAATCTACAGTGTCTGAGCTGTGTTTTAAGAAAACCAAATCTTACCTTTCAACCCAGAAACACAGGTACATTACCCAGCATGCCCTCCAAACCCCAGAGTATATAGTTTAGGAGGGTACATGTAACCTTTGTATAATAGGGGGCAGATAAAGTAAGATGGCGTCTTAGTTTGTGAAGGAATACCCATGGATATCACGTTTGTATGGGTTTGTGTGTTTCCTGTCGGTATGAGGGGCTTAGTGCGTTTTGTATCAAAATCTATATCCGTTCTGTTAAAAGGAATGACGGCTAACAATAACTATTTCTACTCGTGATTCAGGGGCCAGCAGGGGCTGCTTACCTTTTAGTTTTTTTAAGCAGCCAATTTTGAAATACAAATTTTCTCCAGGCCCCGAGTGGTCTTTTTTGCCCGTTTCCGCCAGATGATCTGCCCATTTCTGAGCCGATGCGCAAAGTTCTCGGCTGATCTGGAGAGAAGGCGTGCTGTGCTGCTTCCGATACGCATTATGAGCCGACAGGAAATCTTCCTCGAACTTCTTGCTCCCACCTGTAGGAAATAGTGCTATTAAATTATACACTGTGTCCCTGGAATAATACAAGGCTCACGTGGCAGAACATTCTACTACATTTTATACAAATGCGTCTTTTCAGTAAAAATGTGTTCTCCAAAGTTCGTATGGACCAGGTGACTAAATACGTGCACTGTATCAAATGAGAGATGCTGCTTTTAGCAAATCGTTTGATCCACAGATCAGATACCATCCCAGGGCAGTACCTGACAGTAAATTCAGACACGTGGGATTTATTCACTAAGCAGAAGCTTGTCCTGAATGTGAAAACTTTGATAAAAGCAGCCAGTTTGGGAAACATGTCCAACTCTGCTATAGTTGCAGCTCGCCTATTTGACCCCTAATTTTGCATTTTTGTTTCCCGTTCACTACAATTCTCTGTGTAGTGAATAAACCAGCATGAACATTGCATTGGTGGCTGATATAAACGGCCCCCAGGGACAGCTTCCACCGATAGAGACTGAGAACATATAAAATAATGGAATAGAACACTGAGCTTGCAGACAGGATACTGTGTCATTCTACCTCCATGAAAAAGGCACGTTATAATTGGTTTACAAACAATATTCCGGTCACTCACCGTCTAGAAATTGCTCAATGGACGCCATGGGGATAGTGACAGCCGTTGACTGGAAGGAAAGAGAGAGGATGTGCGTTGTCAGTTTGGGATAAATCAGAAAATATAAATCACTGACTGTTAAATATAAAGGGGTTACTGGGGCACAATGTATTCCTTCTCCACCCAGTACGGCAGCCGAGGAGAGACGGAGAAATGAGTGCGGACAATCACCCAGGGAGTTTAACACCTCGAGCCCAGGGACCCAAAGCCCTGAAGTAACTTCATTAAGAAAAACTTAATGACTTAACTAAAGATTTCATTAAGGAAAAAAACCTTTTTAAAAAAGATTTAAAACAAGAATCAATAAAATAATGTTTGGGGTCCATCACATATTTTTCTAAACGTAATTAAAGGGATTGTTACTTATTGCTCCGTGAAGTTGGAAATATATGACATGGGGCTGCTAGTACTTTATTTTGTTCTGTGATTTTTCTTATCACTGACAAAAGTTTAAATTCTAGCTGTGTTTTACTGGATACAGGTTAATGCTCTGAACTTGTCCATCCTCAGAAAATCTGGCACTGCTGCCGTTCCAGTATCCTTGAGAACATACCTGAGAGTATCTGAAAGAAAAACAATCCGTTTTATCAGTCGGCAAATATTTGTTGTATTGTAGGCATGTCTTACCTGTGTCAAGTAGTTTGGAGGATCTGCCGTCTATTCTCCCGTGCGCTTGATTAGTTGTTGTTTAAATAGTGATTTACCATCGTGGCACGCCTCCTGCCTGGATCGGTGTGCTCAATGAGACCAGTCATACGCTGGCTCAGGCTCGAGGGGGTGTGAGTGGAACAG